CGGGGCTGCTTGGGTGAGCAGTGTCACAGCCGGGCGACCATCCCCGAGCACGGCCCACTCTCGAGAGGTCACCTGTGGAGCGGTAGCGGGAACCGGAGTGCGGAGCTCGGGGCCCTGGTGCCTGCGGGGGGCCGGGCCCTCGGGAGAAGCCTCGCACTGCCCGGCTGTGCAGTCACGGGACTGGCCCAGGCCCCACGCCGTGCTGCCCCGTGCTGCCCCCGGGCCCTGACTCGTGGGACAGGTGTCACCTAGACACCAAGAGTCCCTCCAGGCCCTGGCAGGGCGTCTGGATCACAGCGCCTGGAGCGTGGCTTGTGGTCGGCAGGCCGATGGTCCCTGATCCCTGGGCCTTCTGCAGTCGGGTGTGTGCTGCCCGCTGCCCAGGCGTGGGCAAGCACCCACTGCGGTATGGCGGGGAGGGACAAGGGCCGCGTCGGTCACGATGCCTCGGGACCTGGTGGGCTGCCTTGGCCGCAGTCGGAGATGGACACTGGGGGCGGGCTTTGGACAGGACGAGGCGGAACCCAGGCTGACGGCCCCGGCCCGAGGAGGCCCAGTCAGGCCTCCCGCATTAGAGTTACACGTTCGTCCTGGGCCCCGGGCTGTCCCGGGCGGGAGGGATGTGGTCCAACAGAGCCGCGCCAGGTGGGGTGCGGGGCCTCAGTGTTTTCCTGACACTGACAGCGCTGAAGTGTCTGTACACACGTGCCAGGCCCGGGATCGGCTGTGGCTGGCGGGCAAGGCTGCCGTGTGCAGTAAAGACTGCCGGGGTGGATGTCTGCAATCCCAGAGTCTCAGTCCTGGCTGCTCTCTCCTCCACCTCCTCCTCGCAATTTTTCCTTTGTGATTTTTGTTCATCAAATTAGTTAACTGCCACCCACCTTCTCTCACCAATGACAGTGACATCAACTAGCGCAGCCCCTGGGGTCTCAGCAGCTCGGTGGCAGCCCTCACGGAGATGCCACACACCAGCAGGCCTGGGACCACCAATGTCCTGCCTGCTGGGGGCCTGCGAGATCAGGACCTGGGCACAGCTGACCCAGAGGGTTGGGGACAGCAGAGGCCCAGGACAAAGTCTGCAATGACAGGCGCCCACTGGCAGGAAGTGCTGTCAGTCTGCCGCCCAGACTGGGAGCCATACGGTCCCGAGCCCCGTGTTTCACTCGCAGTGTGTGTCACCATGAAACTCATCTCTAAAATGCATGGCTGGGCAAGTTGACAGATTCGTGTGCGGCCCTTGAGGCACCCGGGTGCCCTTTCCCGCAGGTGTCCGTCTCCAGAGCACCTGCGGACGGAGCGTGGGGCCCCAGCGTCGTCCTCCCTCACTGCGAGCTGGTCTGTGACTTCATCCGAAGCCCGGCTTGAGAACTGCAAAACAGCCTGCAGCTGCTTCTACCACTGCCTGACGCCATCCAGGCCAGGAGCGGCAGGGCCGGGAGGAGAACCTGGAAGTCTGGGGCCTGGCACGGCGAGCCGCAGTTAGGACGGCTGTGCTGGCCTCTGCCTTGTGTTTGTGTAACGTTAACACTCGTGTGGCTTCGCAGTATCACAGGAGTGCAGAAGGGAGGGGACCTGGGATGTGTCCCACCTTGGGAGCTCAGGCCTGCCTGGGGTCACAGGGAGCTGGGGGGGCACGGGCTCCCCTGAGCCTGTTGGGACAGAGCATCTTCCTGTCCCCGGCCCCCTCAGCTTCTCCCCCGGGGCTTCCTAGACCCGACCCCCCACCCCACCGTCCTCATGCCTCGGGCGGGCAGAACTGTGCAGCCCAGCACCTCTGGTAGCCCGGGGTTTGCAGCTGACAGTGGCTCTCCCAAGCCCATCTCACCCAGGAGGAGCCACTGGCACGGAGCCCCCTGCCGCAAGCCCAGCTCCCCTGGGCCCCCAACGGCCCCGCTGCCCTCGTGGCTGCTGGGC